GGTGTGTGTGTGGACTTGGAGGGAGTTTGGATGAAGGAGGTGTTTGTGACCTGGGGCACTGGACTGAGGTACAGACATTTGGGTTGTGACATTGGGCAGGGGTTTGGGGTGCAGGGTCTGGTAGGGGGTATGGGTTCAGGAAGGGGACAGAGGGTTTGGGTTATGTGGGGTGGCAGTGGGTTGGGGAAGGGAGGGGCTGGGTGCCAGAGGCAGGCTCTGGTTGGGAGACTTACCTGGGTGATTCCTGGCCAGCAGCCCAGCATGTTTCTCTGGGAAGCCCGCTTGCTTGCCTCACCCCTACAGAGGCTACACAGGCCATGTGCCATGGTGAATAAGAGCCTTAGGGTGGGGTGGAGGGGGGGGGGCCTTTCATGTGCTGCCTGTTCTTCAGTCAGGCAGTTTCCATTGGCCAGAAATTTCCAATGAGATTGTGCTGGAGGCAGGAGGAGTGCATGAAGCACCATTGTCCCCTCCCCTGGGCTCACAGCTGAGAAAGAGAAACCGCCACAGCCACCACTTTTGTGAGCGGTATGTGTGGGGGTGGGGGAAGGGCAAGCAGGGAGTCTGTGTGAGGCTCCCCGCTGCATCCACGGGCCAGATACTGTGGCTTGGTGGGCTGAATCTGGCCCGTGGGCCATATTTTGCTCAGCCCTGCACCAGACCATAGTCTAGGAACTATTTTTCAGTTGCCTGCTGTCAATTAGCTTTTTCAAGCCAGAAGGAGTATGCCAGAGGAAATCTTAGACTTAGTTTTGCAGATCCCCAGGAGTCCGGGACCACAGTCTGAGAATCATTGTTTTATAGTAAGAACAAGCTTTTGTGGACTCCTTAGACCAGTGTTTCTCAACCTTTTTTTTTTTATAAAGCACCCCTGTTCCAAACAAAAAAAATAAGTACTCCGAGTACCCACAGTTTTCAGACACACACAATTTTTTTCTACCATTGCAACACATTTCTTTAAACAACTTAATTGTAGCTGGGTGGGCAATGACATTTTTGGGTGTAAAAAGTACAAAAATAATAAAGGGCTGTAAAACTTAAAACAAAAATTCATTTTTCTCCAAATTTCAATTGTGTTGACGTATCCCCCAGATTTCCCTCAAGTACCCGTAAGGGTACCACTGGTTGAGAAACACTGCCCTAGATATAGTCCATGGATGCCCAGGGGTCTGCGGACCACTGATCAAATACCTCTGCTCTAGTCAGGCAGGGTTTTTTTTTTTTATTGATTCAGTCTAAAGATAGGAATGTTTCTGAAAAAACTATTTCTGTCTGGCCGCTATTTTATTTCATATTCTCTATGTTTCAAAACCTTGGCTAAATTTAGATTTGCTGACGTTTGCTGACTGGATCAGCTGGCAAAATCAAACAGGACAAATGCAAAAGGAAAGAAATTAAATAAAATTTCACTCCAAATGTAAGTGACATTAAAGTTATGACTGACTGACAGACACCCAAAACAAAAGTGCTTTTTAAAAATATCTTTGATTTTGTAGCCGCTCGAGTGTGGATTTCTAATTTAACCCCCTGGGAATTCTTCATTGAGTGGCCGTGAGTAGGTCTTTGCATTTAGAACAGAATGCCAGCCTGAACATTCACTGAAATGTTAAAAGGAGGTCAGACACTCACTGAAATCTGTGTACAAATGGCACGTTCAAACTCACGAGATACATTCCGCCTTTGTGTATAGAGTCACAATATGCAAACTTTTTTGGGTTTTTTTTTTTGAAGGATTATTTGGGATTATTTTTTTGTTATTGTTTTTGTGTTTTTACTTCTGTTCAACTATGCAATACCATTAAGAGCAAGTGAGGAGAGTCAAGTCTGGTGGTGGCGTTGTGAAACAGAATTGTTAAAACAACCCGGTGTGGCGTAGTGGGGGTGCTGTCTGCTCTGTGACCCGGGATCCCCCTGTGCTGTGACGGGAGATTCTCACTGATTCTCCCAAATGTGGATTAACCCAGACACCCAGGTTCAGCCTCCCAGGGAGGGAGACAAAGGAAGGAGGGTGGAGACCAACACCTGGCTGGGGGGCAGGGCTGGAAGAGAGTTTGAGTTTCTGTCTGGTATCATGGAGGAGGCAGCCTAAGCAAGGGGCTGGGATTTAGGGGCTCAGTCTCCCCCATCTCAAGGGGGCCTGAGGCATCCTAGGCCTGCCCTATAACCAGATTACTTCTATGCTGTACTGTATCCTGGAGAAGCAATAAACTCCCTCTATTCTACTGGCTGGTGGACTCTGTTTGTGCCATTACGGGGGTGCAGGAGACAGGGGAACCCCGACGCGATGTCACACCCGGTCATCTGGGAAACCACATTTCCCTGTAGCATGTTGCACTTGCCATTGTTCCAAGTAACACTCATGATTGCTACAAATGAAAGAGCAAAGAAACAATATTTGTCTCTTTCTTTGGGTTTTGGCAGCATGTGTGCTTTAGATACGTCTGTGCATGGGCTTACCTACCCAAGCTAGCTTGAATGTAGCGAACGGGGGCAACAGTACCAGTGAAGAGAGCACACTGCCACCTTCAGAGTTGACTACTGAGACAAATGTGTACCCAATGTGTGTGCTGAGTTTATAGTACCCACAATGAAGCGCAGGTCGTGCTGTCTTCACTCCTGTCAACGCCTACAGTAGCTGAAGCTAGCTCAGGCAGACGAGCCTGTGCATAGCTTTTGTCGTGTAAACACAGCCAAAGGGAATAAGCAAGTTCACCATTTAGCTGTTGGTAGAACTTCCTGTCACTAGAACTGGAGAGTGGCATCCCTTTCCTGCAGTGCTCTGGGAATCCAAGCTTTCCCCCAGAGTTCAGAAAGACGATGTTCATTGGTAACAGCAGCAGGAAAATGGAAACCAAACAGGAGGCAGACGTGCCTGAAGTTGGGAAGAGGAGCAAAATTGGGTCTGAGTGGGCTCAGTGGTGTTCTTGCTGTGCCCAAATGGCACTATATATATTTGTTAGTCTCCAAGGACACGTCAACACAAGGAAACGATTTAAAAATAACTAAAATCGATTTAATAACTCCAGAAATAACAGAATCAAAATATCATGTCCTCACTACTCAAAATTAGTCCAAGGCAGGTTCCATTAATGTGGACATGCTACCTCGACTTAGAGCCCCAGGAAGCGCTGGGGAGCTGTTAGTTTGAATTACTCTGTGGAGTAGCGTTATTCCCTAAGGAAAGCAGGAGTATGTATTTTGAAATAAGAAGCCCCTTATTTTGAAATAATGGGCTTGGTAGTGTGGACACTCGGCTTACAAATTCGACCTCAGAAGTGTTATTTTGAAATAAAGCCCTATTGTAGACCAGGACTAAGATTGCCACAGGACTACTCATTGTTTTTAAAGATACAGACTAACACTGCTACCCCTCTGAGACTTTCTAAACATAAGCAGATGAACTGGAAAATCCCTTACCTTCTTTAAAAAAAAATTAAAAGCTGGAGTATTGTTTAAAGTGCGCGTCGGCAGAAATGTAAAGAAAATACATTTCAAAGAAAATGACTCTCACCATGTTCCTTTAACCACCTTTTGAGTGTGAAATCTTTATTGCTGAGGAAGGTCTGAGCTGGAAAGAAAGGAGCTTGACTTTCAGAATCATGCCGAGTTTGAATTGGTAGGGGGGCAACATCTTTTTACTTGTAAATGAGCAGATTTTGTTTGGAACTACTGAGAGAAGCATCTGTGAGTTTTCAGAATAGAACTACACTTGAAGAAATTTATTTTGAAGATTCTCCAGTTTGCCTGATCCTTAATGTATGCGTGTATATTGTATTATAACTATTGTAGAGAAAAAGAAGGGTGGGAGGTTTTTTGGTTTGTTTATTACTTCTGTACTCCCTACAAAAAATGTATAGACTGGAAAATCTTTCAAAGAGTATTCCAATAGAAGTTATTGGAGTGACTGAATGAAAGTCTCTGGCTCATGTTGGACATGAGGTCTGGCTAGATGTTCCTTGCGTCCTTTCTGGTCTTAAAACCTTTGAAAGTATGAATAGCCTTCTTCCATTTAGAGATGGATTCTGGTCAAAGGCAGATTCCTATGAAATGTAGATTTTGCCCTTACTTCTGCATTGCTTTGCTTCTTACTCTTCTGCTTTTGAAAGCCTTTTGCTTGTTCTCAGGTCAGTACCACAGCACTGTCTCCTTTGGTCACACGCATTACACTTCTGACATTTGTAGCTACCTGTCTCTGTGGCTGCTGTTACTGCGCCTTGCAACATTTTCCTTATAACACCGAGACTCAAACAGAATTTTTATTACAGTTCGGTGTATTTTTGTCTACAGGTTTTGTGCCACTACCCTCCCCCCTCTTGTTTAGTGTATGCTGCCGTGGTGTGCTAAAAGTTACGGTTCTGTGTCTTCAATCATTACCTATCTTGCTATGTAGTTTTAGAAATGTACACCTGTCTGTCTTTGAGTTTGTTTGTATAAGAACTCCTCCAAAACAGTAAGAGCTAGGACCACCAAATTTGGTATACAGTGTCCTCTTGTCATAACTTAAAACAAGGTCAGGGATTAGTGGTGCCAGGACAATGGGATGTGCCTGGAACTCAATTGTCTCTCATAAAATGAAAAGAGAGGTCTGTCAGGAGGGGTGGTTATACTGCAGAATGACCACATGGGGGCAGCAAGGGGCCAGAGATGAGGACCAGGAGAGCTAGAACTGCATTGAGCCAGTAGGGGTGGAGAAAGAGACATTTATGTACTATAAATTTCAAAGAGATTTTCTGTGTGTCTGTCCATCCCCCAGAATGGGGACCTGTATCTCTCCTCCTACTGTGCCCACTGCAGCTGCGGCAGCCATGGAGAGGTGCTTCTCACCTGGACCCAACTGGGGTTGTCCTCTCTCCTAGGGAAGCCTGCAACTTCAACCCCTCATCCCCACCCCAGAACAATGATTTCAATGAGGAAAAACAAATCTTATTTGCGTTAGGACCTGAGTAATGCTGGGTAAATCTCCTAGTCTATAATATACCTATTTTTTTTCTTCTTTGCAGTGTGTGCTGGTACAGAGAACAAGCTGAGCTCTCTGTCTGATCTAGAGCAGCAGTACCGAACATTGCGCAAGTACTATGAGAACTGTGAGGTCATCATGGGTAACCTAGAAATCACCAGCATTGAACACAACCGTGATCTTTCCTTCCTAAGGGTAAGCAACTTCTTTTCCCACCTTCTCCTTTGTGTGTGCAGATATTGGTGTGAGACTGAGTGTCTTATTCATAAATTACATTTCTATTCCACCCATTGATTGAGACAGCGATATAAACTGACCATCAAAAGACACAGACAGGTCACAGAGGTGCAAAGCACAAGAACAATGGCATGCACTGAGTGTGCTACATTTCCAGTCACCAATGTATCCGATGGAAGGTACTGTCAGTGCACAGTACATGACTTTTTAAATATTTTTGTTTCTCTGAGTTGCAAGCTGCTGAAAAGGTGCATTAGGAAGGGACTTGGGAAGGATCTTGCAGATGAACATGGCTGGTTTTAACATCTAATCCTTTTAAAATCCCAGCCAGAAGCCATTCCAATGGTAAAAAATAGGAAAACTCCACTTTTACTATCTGTGTCACTTTTATCCCTTTAAAATGTTCAGGAAAACCCACCCATTTATATGTGTAGCCTTACACTCTTGGAGCCTCAAGTGGAGTCAACAGGGGCAAGAGGATGATAAGGGTGCAAAGATAGGTGGTGTTTCCCATTGGGAAGAGACCCCTTCACCTATGAGTTAGTGCAGTGCTCTCATTGTGAGACTGCAGACAGCCCAACCCAGTAATGTAGAGAAAGGCAGAGGGTGAAAGCCAAATTAAGAGTCACTAAGCATCCCTGTCATCTATTCTTTGACAGTTAGAGGAAACATCCAGCTAATGGGATAGCCAGTGTATTCTGCTCCTCTGAGAGTGTATTCCCCAGGGTTAAGGCTGCAACATGTGAGGAAGAGATACACAAGGGTAGGAACTGACTGCCAAAGGAAGGGAGAACAAATCGTAGCATGAGTGTGGCACAAATTGGCCATAATATGGCATAGCTGGTCAATATGGATGAGGTCAAACCATTTACAAATACAGTAAAGCACCGTCTGACCTGGCTTCTTTTGGTTATATACAACCCACATAAAAAAATTACTGTGTTTCTAAACGTGTGTGTGTGTGTGGATATTGCTTGTAGGAGATGCAGAGAACAAGGGAAGTGGACAAATCTCAGTCTAAAGGAAGGAATGGGAGAGCTGATACCGAACCAAAATGTTTTTCTTTGCATCGTTGGCCTGGGAAAGATCCAGGATAGGCAGAATATTTGCTCTTGATCTGTTACAAGCTGAGTCATTTTGGTTTGCAGGGCCTTATTTGAGCCTTTTGTTTAATGTGAGATCACAAAGATTTAACTTTCTGTTGTTGTTGCTAACAAAGCTGAAGCACAAACCAGACACGTAGTCTGACTGTCATGTACAGCTTCTTTTCAGGTTAAAATCACTGCCGTTTCTTCTGAGTTGCATTCCAAAACACAACTTGGGCTCATGGTTCCTCAAAACTTAGACCAGGCTTGCTAAATGGTGGGTGAGCTTGACTCAAACTAAAAGGTTAGTTGGGAGTACCATTTATGTAACACAGTCGATTAGTAGGTAGCTTCATAATTACCATTACTAGTCTGACTAGTAAATGGTGGTGAGTGGTAGGAAAAACGTCCACTTTGGAACAAGTGTCTATGGTCTGACTATAATATTCACGGCACTGTTAGGTAATTGGCAGTCAGTTAATTCACATTAAGACAGGGCAAAAAACTCTACAGAAATCCTTCACTGAACATGATCCAAGTTTCAGATATGCAATGAGGCTGCAAAGAAGGGCAGTTTTGCTTGGCTCCAAGCTTTGCTATGGAAGCTTTTCAGGGTTCTAAATTCTTCCCCCTTTTGCTTCCCTGGCAGGCAGTTTGGGGAGGAAGATCAGGGTAAGCGGTGAATGACTGAGTCAGGGCTCTGCCCCGAGGATTGCTTCCGTGAGGGTTGCTTGTGCTTCAGGCTGGCCCCGTTTGCCTGAAAGAATGATTGCAGCTTCTTCATTAAGCAAAGTAGAAATGAAAATGGAGATCTTTTCCCATTCGATTCCCCTGCGAGCCTAACTGTTTTCCGTTTTCATCCCAACCCCTTGCAGTTCTTCTGGGGTTTAGTCTGATGAGCAAGACTTAAACGGAAAAATAGAGGAAAACCGTTAGAGGAAAAATGGCAATAAACTAAGCAAATGAGATGAAGGAATGAAGGCTGTTGGTGGTAAATCAAGGCAATTTACTAGCTTTGGATTTGTGGAGATTGTTACCCAGGCTTTTATTTGTTTATTTAACTGGGGACTACCCTCTCACAGATGTCTCAAGGGGGAGAAAACCAGAAAAAGCACCAACATGAAAACAAACCAGCAGCTCTAGTTAATATGATGAATTATCATCATTAAACAGAGGAAATCATGTTGCTGGTGAAATAAGTAAATACATAAATAAGGTGGCATATTTATGCTAATAATTCAACATTCATTAGTTAGACATTATTACTTATTTAAAAAAACAATTTTAATGGCCTAACGAAGGTGGCAGTGGCATTCTAACCAAGAGCCAGGCTATTAGTCACTTTTCGCCTTTTAAATGGTGAGCTCTGTAATGCAGCTGACGCAGGGCTCTGCCCTTCTCCCCTCAGTCTTTTTTGCTTTCCTTCCACACCAAATGGGCTTCAAGTAGCCAATAGACAGACTGCTGGTTTATTTGTGTGTCTCACTGACGAGCATGTTGGCTGTATAAGCCTTCCTTCTTCCTCATTAGTGCTGACCCCGACTCAGAAACCTTTCACGCCAGTAAACAGGCAGGACCTATTGAACTAGGCAGTGTGCTTTGCCTTTTATTCTGCAATCGCAGATGAATACCCGCATGAATGTGAGGGTGAGAAGATAATTTTATTTACACTGTGGAAGAGAATTTTAAAAAATAGCAGCCCAGCTTTCATATTTATTCAGACACTTAACACCTACATGGATTGCTTTCATGTTTGGGTGTTGTTTGTGGTTGTCTAATTATTGAAGATGAATGGGTTTCGTTTTGCATTGCCTTCCACTTTAAGGCATTTAACATTTATGCCCTGTTTCGGGAGGGTCCTCAAACAGGTAAAAGTGTGTGATTAGTTTTGTCAGCTTAAAAAAGGCTGACTTCTGCTTCAATTTACACACTTGCTTAAGTCCCTTTCTGAATAAGGGACTTATTCCTGTGAAAGGTGAGTGTAAAAGATTTTCATTCTGTTTTATATATCCTGTAACAATTGCCTGTATAGATATGCAACTAGCATCAGGTAATCATATACAGCAGTGAACTTAGGAGTAGACTCTGCCAACTTTAGCCGCATTAATTAACATTATTTGTAGGGGTATTGTAAGCAAGGCACAAGAAGTGAGCATTCTGCTCCTCTCAGCTCTGATATGGGCTCGACTAAATATGGTGTCCAGTTCTGGGTGCCAAACTTGGGAAAAGATGTGGAAAAATTGGAGAAAGTCCAAAGAAGAGCAACACAATTGATTAAAGGTCTAGCAAACTTCATCTATGAGGAAATATAGAAAAAAAAAAAAACCCTGGAGCCTGGAAAAGAGAAGATTGTGGGAGGATATAAGTCTTTGAATAAATAAAAAACATTGTTATAAAGAAGGGGCAGAGAAAGTGTTCTCATTAACCATTGAGGACAGGACAAGAAGTAACATGATCAAGGGAGATTTAGGTTGGACATTATGAAAAATTTCCTAGCTGTCAGGATGGTTAACCACGGGAACAAGTTACTTAGCAGGCTTGTGGAATCTGTCATGGTAAGTTGTTAAGAACAGGATAGACAAATACATGTCAGAGATGATCTAGAAATAACTTAGTGGAGGGGACTGGGCTAGATTAGGGTTACTCATGAAGTAAGTGTAATTTTATGATTAAGTAATACTTTGCTTCAAGAGTAGCCTTGAGATTAGTGGGACTCCTTGCCCAGGAAGGTAATACCCAGCAAAAATAAAGTGTGACAGCATCTGATCTTACCAAAATTGAGAGGATCGTTTCTAGGAAGCTCATGAATTTCAAGCTATGCATCCAATTGGAAGAGTTATTCTCCCCCCTTTTGCCCCCCCACCCCCCATTCTTTTTTCTTCTGAACCCTAATTTACACACAAGCAATGTTAATTGTTATGGCTAAATTGATTTATAGAGATGAGGCGGGTGAGGTAATATCTTTCATTGGACTAATTTCTGTTGGCAAAAGAGACAAGCTTTTGAACTCCCCAACCCTTTTCTTCAGGTCTGGGAGAGGTAGTAAGGCCTTGCCTACTCCTACCCAAGATCAATGCTTTGGAGACTGGTCTTCCAGGGTTCGATTTAGCGGGTCTAAAAGAGACCCAATAAATTGACTGCTGATGGCACCTTGTCGACCCTGGTACTCCACAGGGTCACCAGGAGTGAGGGAAGTCAATGGGAGAGTTTCTCCCATCAACCTCCTGCAGTAAGGATGCTTAAGGTCCATCAACTCCAGCTATGCTAGTCTCTTAGCTGGAATTGGGTATCTTAAGTCGACTTTTCCCCCCAGTGTACACCTGGCGTAAGAGTATGATAGCTACATACTAGGTCAAACAGGGTTTTTAGCAGAAGTAGTTAGCATGTATTCTAAGGACCATTCCAGGTGAAGTGGCCCATTAACACCCTTGTAGGGCAAAATGGGGGGTTAGTGGATTACAGATTGTTGTAATAAACCATACATCCAGTGTCTCTATTAAGACAATGTTACCAATTTAAGCTCCCTTTTGAAAGGCTTGTCTTTTCAGAATGTTGTGCAGGTTTCCATTGAAGATGGGGACTGTGAGGTAGGATATAGCGTGATCACTTTCTCCTGATGTAGCTTGACTATGTAATCATAATTAGGATTATTATTATTATGCTTGCAGCAATGTAACTGCATTCATTTAGGTATACCAATGCAAACTCTTAACATAAACATGCTACCCCAGCATGATGATTGATTACTGGGTACATTGATTTAGTGTTATAATTATCATTTGCTCCTAGAGTCTACAACCAAGATTGGGCCCCATTGGCACTACACATAGTGTATGTCAGTCCCCGTCACAAAGAACTTGCAACTTGACTGAC